AGTTTCAGGTAAACATCCAAAAGTAAGCGTAAGCTCCTCCTGCTGGCCAAAAGGAGAATGCAAAAAAATAAAATGCATAGTGTCCTATTTACCATACAAAAAAAGTGTAATATATATTTTTAGTCCTGACCTTAATAAACAAAATATGTACAAAACTACTACACATTCTGCTAGTTTTATGCTCCTAAACTCCTACTGTGTGTCCTATTTCTCTGTCTTCACAGCACCAGCTCCGGTCCTTGGCAGGATAAATGTTTGCCTGCTGCTTTGAAGGCTTAATGAGCTTCAATAATAACTGGTTAGTTTGGGTAGCAAATACGATTGCGAAATTTGTTAGTTTATACAATACCAAAAACCTATGAAGCCCTTTTTACACATTGTACATCCATATCAGTCCCTACCCTCAAGGAGCTTACAATCTAAGGTCTCTAACTCACATGCACTCATACTAGGGAGCCAGTTATCCGGCCAGCATATTTTTGGTGTGTTGGAGGAAACCCATGCAAACACAAGGAGAGCATGCAAATTGCATGCAGATAGTATCCTGGCCAGGATTTGAACCAAGGACCCTACTACTACAAGACAAAAGTGCTAACCACTGCACCACCGTACTGCCCAAAAATCGAACAAACACATTTTTTCAAAAAGATGGAAAATCATTCCCATTAAATGATCAAAATGTCAGATACCATCAAGGAAAACGATCACAGAAATTTAGGGGACCATGGAGTCACTGAGATACCTGAGCAAAATCAATAATATTACTAAAAGAGACAATCGGAACAATTTATGATTTTCAGGAAAATTGTTCGAATTTTGAATATTGCTTCATTTTTTTTTAATTCCCCATACATAGCAGTTGAAAAATATTGTATACCCTATAGCCATAGATCTGTGGAGACATGGCCATCACAACTATAGGATCTGGTTGGAAATCTCATTACAAAACCATTGAAGCTAATATTGAGGTGTCAGGGATCCCGTCACCGTGCAGCGGTGCAACGGCGACGGATCCCCTCGAGTCGCGGTGGTGCGAGTGTGCAGGCGCGGGAGCGTGTGGCCGCGCATGCGTGGTAGTGCGGAAGGTTCGCGCATGTGCAGTAGTGCACACGTCATGTCTGGCGGGCTATTTAAACCTGCTTCATATGGAAATCATTGCTTTCTGGTCTAAATACGTTCCTGCACACATTTCCTGATTCTGATCCTGATACCTGCATTCTGTATACCCGCTTAAGAAAGAACTCCGCCTGCACCGACCCCGGCTATCCCTGACCATTCTCCTGCCTGCTCCTTTTTGCCTGACTCAGTTGTATGATTCTGCCTGCACCTGACCTGCATCCTGTCAGCAACCATACATACCTACCGCAGCACCCACGGCTCTGCATCTGGCCTACATCCGGACTACCACCATACCTGTCTGTCACCGCATTCACGCACTGGTGCTTGGTCCCAAGACCCGCACCCTGACTGCCGCCACACCTGCCTGCTGCTGCACCCATGTTCCTGCAACCACACCTGGCTTGTGTCCAGAGCTCCTGGGTTCCCAGCTACATACTGACAATTGCAAGATCTCCACGGCACTCCTGCCCCTCCTGGCTCTGTGCCCCTGTTCCCACTTTGAGGGGCTCCGAGCGGGAGTTGTAAGAGGATGCTCTCTCTCCACTTCAGGCTCCCCAATCCAGTACGTGATAGTCACATTGTGCCCTGCTTCCGCCAGCGGTCTCCTCTACCTCAGCTGGGTGTACCTGGGGGACACGACCTGGTTCCAGCCTGCTCCAAGTCCATCCCCACCATCAGGGGCCCTGGTGAATAAGCAGACTGGGGCTTAGACCCCGCGCCCTGGGGAACCCCAAGCTGTGGATCTATAGAGCTACCCCGCCAGAGTCGTGACATGAGATCCTCCCATTTTTGTGTCTTAACAACCTCTACTCCTCTGAGAAGACTTTCTACACAATTTTGGAGTGTATCCATGGACATTTGTACACATTCAGCCAAAAGAGCATTTGTGAATTCAGATACTGACTGGGATGGGAAGTCCTGGCTTGCATCAGTGTTCCAAATCATTCCAGGTTTCAGTAGGGTTGAGGTCACCCCAACTATATCTTTAGGTTAGGTATTGATGTTGGGTGAGAATTTTATCCCAAGGGTGTTCAGTAGGATTTAGGTCAGGGTTGATGAGAAGGACACTCCAAATCAAACTCATTAAACCATGTCATTATGGAGCTGGCTTTGTGCACAGGATCACAGTCATGTTGGAACAGAAATAGGGCCTTCACCAAACCATAAGGACGAAAAAGCAGAATGTTTTTGTATTCCGTAGGGTTAATAGTACTACTGTATATACTAGGAACACCTGAACTCAATCATTTGGAGGGGTCTCCACATAATTTTGGTCATATGGTATATCAAGTGTTGACAACCCTTCGGCCATATAGTGTTTATTTGGTGAATCAGATCTTGTTATTTTATATTTATGGCCAGCTTGACTTGGGTGTTTGTTCTGTATCTTGTCAAAAATTAACTAGACTCCACAGGTATTCCACTTCTGTGGCCAGCTTTTCCCTTTCTGTAAAATGAAAAGGATCTCTAACAGTTATTGAATTGATCACGCACATGGAATTCTTGGTGATACCCATAAAGAAGAAGAGTTTTTAACTTCCATTGTAACAATAAAGCATCTTATCTTCCATTTACAGGTCATTCTGTCCTTGTCCTCTAGATCTTCAACCTCTTCAATTGATATCTGTCTCTATATCCTTGTCTTGGTTATTTCTTTGTAGGTTCAGGTTTGCTGATTTTTATAATGCCCATCCTCCTCCATCTCTCAATCACAGCATTTGCTTGTCAATATTTTATATACTGTGATCTTTACCCCTTACAGCATTCCAACTACAGGTTTGTCTGAGATGTCTGCATATAAACACCTCCTAAAAGGAAACTATAATGGCTTTGGGTCAGTTTTATTATTAGTTTTTATGTATTACTGAAGTTTATTTTTAAGCTGTTTATATACTGTATATACTGTGTGTGTATACTATATATATATATATATATATAATATATATATATATATACAGTATATATATATAAAATAAAATTAAAAATGCAACGCTAATTAGGAAATCATATAAACATCAAATTAAAGTCCATATAAGTCCACAAATGTATGAAGCCAGATGCAAGAGAAGATATCAATCCAAAAGCCGTCAACATACACTCGAAAAAAATTGGCCTCTTATCGGACAATTTGACTGTACAAAACCGGTCAGCAAGCAGCAAATGATCATCGGTGGAAATCCTCTCCCAGATGAAAGATAACTTCTCCACTTTAAGGATCTCCAAAGTTGAAGAAACTCCCATCCGACAGTCAGGAAATAAGTAAAAAGAAAAGGCAACTCATAGTGCAGTAGTTAAATTAAACTTTAGCTGATTTCTTAAAGATCCACGTACATAAAAGTGTAAGATAACCAGCATTGAAAACAGAAAAGTATCATACCAACAAGATGGCCACTGTCCCTCCAGAGCGCGGTGACGTCACACGCCGAGCCTCTACCCAACGCGTTTCGTCATCAGAAATACGTCATCAGCGGCTTACACATACATTATTGGCTTACACGTACTGCCTAACACGTACATCATTGTGGCTCTGGCCTTACTCTTCAGGCCCTTGTCTTTCTCTTACAGACCCTCCTCTCACAAATGCTTGGTCAATATATTTAGCAGCCCCTTGCAGCTCTGGCTCCCACCTGTCTCCTACGTGAAACCCTCATGACTCCTTGGCAGAGACCTCCTCTGTCTCTTAGGGAGGAGCCCAGAACCATGGTTAGGTTTCTACAAAAAGCCCTGCACACATTTCCACAATCAGCGTTCTGATTATTAACAGAACACGGACCCAGGATTGGAAATGTCATCCCTCCAAGATCTCTACAAAATCTTCGGGCTTCAGGTCCCAAACCAGGATTTACCAATCCTCTGAATGAAACAAGCCCCTTGCAGCCCCTCAACCTGCCTGGATGAGAATCCTGGGTCATAAATTAATTCATAGCACTGCCACAATATATACAGTATACTGTATATATATTGTATTTTTTCTTTTTTTTCCATAAATACACATTTAAATGGCAAAAAATTCCCAGAGCACTATTTATTTAAAGAGAAGACACAGCAGACTGGACTGGACTTGCTTTGCAGCTCCCTTTGTGGGACTGAAGCCTCCTACTCAGCCCTCTGATAATGATGTTGTGATCACTCACTGAATTCTGTAAATAACAGGTTCTTTCAGCAGCACTGAGAGAGATACAAGTCTTTTCATATGAAAATAAGACTACAGCGCCAACTGCAGGCTGGATACAGAACTGCATACCCAGAAGCAACTGGAATGTTGTGGTGGCTCTGACAAAGTCACAGATCAGCAAATGAGAAACTGGAGGAAACTGTGTATAAATAGGATGAAGTAATCATTAAAGACACTTAGTCACCTTGTCCTTAAAGCACTCCGCTCTAGTCAGTTGGCCATGGATGGAATTTTAGCTGGTCTAATCACTGCCATGTTCCCCAAGGCAGATTACAAGGAATAAGTCACATTTGTGCAACATGAACCTGAATACCTTGTTCTGTCCTCACTACACATTTTTCTGTGTGTAATCTAACATACAGATAAATTCTCCTATTCTGCAATAAACCAGACTGAATGTAATCTTAAAGCTTTATTAACAAAACAGGGTTGGGTTAAAAGTATTGAGAAAAAAACAAATGAGAAATACATAAAATGTATGAAACATACAAACAAACTGAAATGATTAGGCTGTGAATGGAAACAAGCCCATGCTCACCAGCGATGCTGCCTGTGGTGGTTGTAAATTCAGTCCACAACATGTGCTTCAGAGAAAAATGGGTGGTTTCTTTCCCTCAGTCCTTAAAATGGAGTCTGAACTCCCAGGATGCACCTGTTTCCTTTTCTTAGAATTAAGGAGTTTTTTTTTTAATTAAAGTATTACTAATTCCAGGACCCTGCATTCACTATATCTGGTCTCCCCGGACCCTGCATTTACTATATCTGGTCTCCCTGGACCATGCATTCACTATATCTGGTCTCCCCGGACCCTGCATTTACTATATCTGGTCTCCCTGGACCATGCATTCACTATATCTGGTGTCCCCAGACCCTGCATTTACTACATCTGGTCTCCCCGGACCATGCATTCACTATATCTGGTCTCCCACAGTATACAGAACATGGAAATGCAATTAAATATAAGTAAATATAAACTGCTAAATACCTTTTCTCCTCAGCAATTAGAGCAGTCTTGTGACTTTTATCAGTGTCCAGCACAGCACTAGCTAAAACTTGTAGGAGGAGTTTTCTTTCTGCTCTAGGAGGATGGAAACCCCCTGACCTCTGTCTGGACAGTGCTGATTGGCCCCGTGCTGATTACATGCACTCTCCCAGGAAAAAAAAAAAACCTCTCTAGCAATATACACCAAACTGAGCATGTGCATGCCTATGGTTCAGTCTGGAATTAAGTGGTGGTCGCTTGTAAAAGGGGAGAAACAGAGAAGAAAGGATCAAACAGCCTTTTTACACAATGCAGAGGAATAACCCCGTAGGTTCCAGAGTGAGTATAACAAGCATGCTTTACTGCATATACAGACTGATTGTACTGTTGTGGGTTTAGTAACACTTCAAGGCCAGAGAGTCTCTAATTTCTGGAAAACAGTACATTTATTCCAGGCTCCACCTAGTGGACAAATTGAATATTGCAGGGAGGAATGGTGATTTTCCCCTGCTGAAGGCAGAACATAACTATTAGGGAATAATTGAAAGGGTGGAGTGGTAGAGGCTTGAGATAACGTTGGGTGTTAGTTTTATATTTATAATGTTGTCCATAGTATATTGATACTCTCAAAGTGGGGCACCCAAATAATAGGTAGGCAACTTCTGAACATCAAAGGGTTACCACAGTCACCTTGGATTGTGGAGGAATCGGGCGGACTGACAACTTATGGGGCCCCCGGGCAATAGGAAGTCATGGGGTCCCTGTGTCCTCGCCCACACTCAAACCACACCCAAAAAAGCCTATGAAAGGTACCACGGGCATTTCATGGGGCTGCCTACTGACCCCGGGCCCTCGAGTGCCTAAATGGTCAGTCCGCCCCTGAGAGGAATTATTTGGATCTGGAATTGAAGCACCACACTGAAATGTCCAAAATGAAGTTTATTCCAAACCCAAATTGAATATAAAAATCGACGTGTTTCAGGGGATCAGACATAATCTGTTCATCAGGGCTTGCTGAAATATGGAAATTGAAGCACCGCACCAAAATGTTCAAGCCCAATTATTATACAGGATTTATATAGCGCCAATAGTTTGCTCAGCGCTTTACAAAATACAGGGAGACAATACAGCCACAATATAGTTCAATACAAGAGGGATAGGAGGGCCTGATCCTGGGAGCTTACAATCTAAGATTAAAGTTTATTACAAACAAAAATCAAGTAAAAAAAAGAAAGTGTTTTGGGGGCAGACATCACCCCTTCATCAGGCCTTGCTGAAATATAGATAAAATATATACCGTATCTCACAGACACACAGGACTCAAGATATGATGAGTTATTTATTAGATTGTAAGCTCCCAGGATCAGGCCCTCCTTTCCCTCTTGTATTGAACTGTATTGTTGCTGTATTGTCTCCCATTATATTGTAAAGAGCTGAGCAAACTGTTGGCGCCATATAAATCCTGTATAATAATAATAATCTCTTCAAGGACTCATTCGCACTATCAGTGCTCTCTGAAGAGTTGTATCACCTCCTCACTGCTTGCTTTAACCCCTCGGAGCCTGCACCAGTGCAGTGCAATCACATGTATTGTTGTGTAGTGCTTGCAGAGAAGCCCCATTCACTTGAATGGTCACTTTCAGTGGGTGCTATGCCCACTGAAAATGGCAAGGTGTATAATTAATGCCATGGCCATGAAGTAAAGCATGGGCAGTGGCTGACCAACAACTCATGGGGCCCCCGGGCAATAGAGGATCATGGGGTCCCTGTGTCCTCGCCCACACTCAAACCACACCCAAAAAAGCCTATGAAAAGGAACTAGGGGCATCTCATAGTGCCCCCTACTGACCCCAGGCCCTCGGGCAGTGCCCGAATTCCCAAATGGTCAGTCCACCCCTGAGCATGGGTACACCCCTGGCAGCTGCTTCTGCAAATAAAGAGGTTGGGTCAGTAAAAGCACGGTTAAACCATAGGGTTTTACCACCTCCCAACCCTAAATCAGTTATGGGGGGGGCTACCCTGTACATGACCGGTATAATACAGTAAGTGTGAATAATTGGCCCCATACACAACATATATTTAGGGCTCACAGCCGCGTCTAGCTCTGTAAATTCCGCGTTCGCTCGGTGTAGTTCAGACGCAATTCAGGTGGGAATTAAAATCATTTCCTCATTGATTTTTTTGGGTTAGACCTCCGCATCCAATAAAAGAGGCTCTCGATTTAGCAGACAATGGCCCGCCGAGCCTTAAGTAGATGGAGTGCTGTACATGTTCGCCAAGTGGCTATGAGCCGGTCGCACAGGCCTTCCCTACGCCGCCGATCCGCGCTGAGATGTAATGGCTAAATGGTGAAGGGAACAGAAAGCACTTGCCCTGATTGATGGGTTTCCATTGTTCACCACTTCCTTCTGTTTACATGAGAACTAAAAATAGTAATGTGGGAATGTATGAGCCGAGGAGCCGAGTGCCTGCCAGCGGTCCCAGCTCACTGCCTACCGAGACAATGCAAATGGATAATTGTCATCACTGTCTGGAGTAAAGCTGAAGCCGGCTGTGCTAATGATGTCTTTGGATTGGTTGACGTGGGGAATTGCACTCCATCCGGTGAATGATCCCAAGAGAAAGGGTTAAAGAAGAACACACATTTTTTTCATTTTTTTTTTTTAAAGGGAAAGGCTTCTCTTTGTCTTTTTTTTTTTTTTAATGTACCAATTGGAAGAACGAAGGTTGTTCTATAAATGAGCAGTGCTGGGATCCTTAGGAAATAATTGTTTCGCCATTCCATTGTGAATGCTTCGGAGCAAAGTAAACCCTAAGGCTCCTTTTACATTTGCAATATGGGGGCAGCTTTATTTTTAGATGATTTCAATAAAAAGCTCTCTGCTCCAAGCTGCTTCTCCCCAACCCTGGGTGCCAGAGATAGACCCAACCATTCTCACCCACCAACTCAATGCAGGAAAAGAAGCTGCCGTACCGGAGACCACAGACATCCATATTGTATAAGAAATCCACAAGCAGGGGCGGACTGACCATTTGGAAACTCGGGCACTGCCCGAGGGCCCGGGGTCAGAAGGGGGCCCCATGAGATGCCCCTGGTACCTTTTTCATTGGCTTTTTTGAGTTTTGGCAAGGACACAGGGGCCCCATGAGTTGTCAGTCCACCCCTGTCCACAAGCATCGCAATGACAATCCCCTCCCTAGGACCGCGCCTGCTAATGCGTTTCATCCAATAGTGCTTAGTCACAGAGATACAGGCGTACCTCAGTTTACAAATTTAATTCGTTCTGCGGGACTTTTCGTATTGCGAAAAATTCGTAAACCAAAAAGCGGTTTCCCATAGGAATGCATTGAAAACCAATTAATCTGTTCCGGAGGTCAGAAAAAAGTCTTTTATCAGTTCAAAACTCTTTTATAAAGTGCACTTTAAAGGCATAAATACTGTACAGGGACATGGTTAAAAATGAATTCCTAAATGCATTGAAAACCAATTAATCCGTTCCGGAGGTCTGAAAAAGTTAAAAAAAAGTCTTATCTGTTCAAAACTCTTTATAAAGTGCACTTTAAATGCATAAATACTGTACAGGGACATGATTAGAATAAAATTTGTAAAAGTATTAAAAACCAATTTATCCATTCATATTGTGAAAAACAAATTTGTAAACCGAGGCATTATTTTCAATGGATTTTCATTTGTAAACTGAATATTATGTTAACCGAGGCGTTCGTAAACTGCCTGTCACCCTACCATATAGAGGGCCGAACTGAAACCATTCACAAGCATTGCAATGACAGTCCCCGCCCTAGGACCCCCCCTAACGTGTTTCATCCAATAGGGCTTAGTCAGAGATGCACTGTCAAAACAGACAATGGTCGCCGGATAGTCTCATAGACATTGCGCAGCAAAAAAAAAAGACGTGACCAAGCCCCTGATGGGCGTGGTGATACACATTAGAGGGCGTGGCTAGCGCTGTGCTGAGGCCACTCAATGTATACAACACGCTGGACACCCGGGGTTGGTGCTGAGCGGCGTCCGCTCCCCCTTATCTTTCGCCCCAGACACTGGAACAGACTAAGGACGCTGCTCCCTTCATTCCCATGCCAGATGGATGATCTCTTTTGCGTATCTGGCTTTCCAGTGGCGCCATTAAGATTCACATATGGTCTCAAAAAATATGGCATGTCACATTCAGCTGGCAACTGCCTCTCACTGTGCCTTATAGAAAGCTGCACTGCAACCATGATGTAATATCCACAAGCATTGCAATGATAGTCCCCATCCTAAGACTGCCCCCGACTAATGCGTTTCACCCCATAGGGGTTAGTCATAGAGATACTTACTATCAAAACAGGCAATGGACAACCTCATGCACATTGCTCAGCAAAAAAAATCCCCAAGACGTCACATTCAGCAGGCACTGTGCCCTATAGAGGGCTGCACTGCAACTGGAGCGGTGAAGTGAGTTTTTTTATGTCAGGTACTTATATAGCGCCATCAATTTACGCAGCACTTTACATATATATTGTACATTCACATCAGTCCCTAACCCTCAAGGGGTGTACAATCTAAGGTCCCTAACTCACATTCATACATACACATACTAGGGACAATTTATACAGGCGCCAATTAATGTAACTGGCTGTGGAGAGGAAACCGGAGTAACTGGAGGAAACCCACTCAGACTCAGGGAGAACATGTAAACTCCAGGCAGGTGGTGCCGTGGTTGGGATTTGAACCATAGACCTCAGTGCTGTCTGGTGGAAGCTAGCTGTCATTTAATACAGGTACTTATGTAGCGCCATCAATACACAGCACTTTACATACAGCATATACATATATATATTGTACATTCACATCAGTCCCTAACCCTCAAGGGGCGTACAATCTAAGGTACCTAACTCACATTCATACATACACATACTAGGGACAATTTAGACAGGAGCCAATTTACCTACCAGCAGGTCTTTGGAGTGTGGGAGGAAACCGGAGTACCCGGAGGAAACCCATACAGGCACAACATGCAAACTTTGGGCAGGTGGTGCTGGTGGGGATTTGAACCAATGTCTCCTGTACTTCCAAGGGGAGGTGCTAACGGTTTAGCCACTGTGCTGCCCAGGGGCGGACTGACAACTCATGGGGCCCCAGGCAATAGGGTATCATGGGGTACTTGTGTCCTCGCCCACACCCAAAAAAGCCTATGAAAAAGCCAATGAAAGGTACCAG